GACGTAATTGTGGAGACATAAGATGCCCAACATTCACGTTTAGCCATACGGATGGCCCTACGGGTTACCGCACTCGCTCTCCGAAAGAAAAGAAAAGAATCGGCCGTCTGCCGACGGCGGTGCCTCTTCCAGGCTGCACGCTTACAGCGGACAGCCCGAGCACAGTCTGCATTCCACCAGGGAATGCACTTCCGCGGACCCTGAGAGAAAGAGCGAGGAATAGAGCGGAGGGCAGCGTCGAAGACAGTGTCATGAAAATGGAGGAGAGCGTGAGGGAGAGGCAGACGGGAGAGATCAGAGAGAGCAGCACTGAGGGTAAATAGGTTCCAGTCCACTTTAGCAAACTGCCACCTAGGGAAGAAGAGAGAAGGACGAAAAGAGAAAAAGGAAATAAGGATGGGGAAATGGTCACTGCCATGGAGATCATCAAGAACCTGCCACGTGAAATCTAAGTAAAGAGAAGAAGAACAAAGGGAAAGATCAAGACAGGAAAGGGTGCGAGTCCGAGAGTCCAAATGAGTGGGCTCACCAGAATTCAGAAGAGACAGGGAAGAAGAGAGGATAAACGGCTCAAGAAGGCGACCTCGGGTATTCGTCAGAACATCACCCCCAAAGAGAATGACGACAATTGAAATCACCCAGCAGGAGCACAGGCTCCGGCAAGGAGTCCAGGAGGTGTTTCAGATCAGGAAGAGAAAGCGGGACACTCGGGGGGAGATAAATGGAACAAACTGTGTACCATTTCCCCACAAAGATACGAGCAGCAGAACAATGGAGAGGCGAAGGAAAAAGTAAGGGGACAAAGGGAACATCAGAGCGAATCAAGAGAGCAGAAGAATTAGGAGCACCAGCAACAGCTTTGGAGGGGGGGGAAAGAAAGGAATAACCAAGAAAACGACCAGGACGAGTACCAAGCATCGGCTCCTGGAGACAGACACTAAGGGGCGAAAACCGCGAAATCAGAAGTTGGAGTTCGAGGAAATTGGCGTAATAACCTCGAACGTTCCATTGAAGAATAGACATCGATGAGAAGAGAAAGGACAACAACAGAGAACAAGGAAGAAACAAAGGCGAAAGAGCAACATTGCACGTTAAAGAATATCAGGGTCGGAATCAGGGTCAGCAAAGTCAGGGTTAGGGGGCATAGGTAAACTGAGCAAAGACGGAGGGAAGAAAGCGGGAGAACAGACCAGAGGTGGGTGGGTGGGGTCCGGAGGAGGAGGAGGAAGAGGAGGAGACAACGGAACGGAGAGGAGCAGTCAAGGACAGCAGCAGGAAGAGGGGGAGTAGAAAGAGGGGAGCGCACCTAAGCAAGATCTGCAACCGAGAGGGAAGCAGGGGCCAAAGAAACCTCCATAGCAGGAACAGGGGGCGCAACCACCAAAATGGGAGGAGAAGGAGCGATAGAGGCAGCAGTAGTGGTCTTCTTACCCACCTGGGAGGAGGAAGGAGAGGAGCCAGGCTTACGCTTCTGACTTAAAGAGACAGGTGTCCCAGCAACTACGTACTGGGTAACGGATTCTAGCATCTCAACAGGAGAAGCTGAACGAGAGCACACACGACTGCCGCTTGGAGAGCGATGGACATCAGCCCGCACTGACAGGGGGCGGGTAGAGTCAAGAGACGGGAGGGAAGGATGGGAAGGAGGAATGGAGGGAGACGAGGAAGAAGACACAGGAGATAAGACAGACCGGGTAGAAAGAAGGGGAACCCAAAATAGAGGACCAGGAGGTGGATCCTTCAGGACAGAACTCAAAGGAACAGAGGAGGGGGCAGTGGGCGTATCAGGGTCCAAGGCCCGGAAACGGTTGTGAGTCTGAGGAAGGTGGGAAGGACGAGGAGAGGAAGAGCACAACACGCGAGCATAAGAGATATTAGCATAAGGTGGGAGCTGGCGAACCTGGCGCCTCGCCTCAGGAAAAGATAAACGCTCCCGGTGCTTCAAGTTGAGGACGGCTGCCTCAAGCTTGTAATGGACACACGCACGGGAGAAGGTAGGATGGGCCTCACCGCAGTTGAGGCAAAGAACCCGAGGAGAAGTGCACTCCGACTTAGAGTGACCTTCACCCCCACACAAAGGACAGAGAGAGACTGTCCCAGAGCAGAGGAGGGCACCATGCCCAAACCTCCAGCACTTGTTACAGAGCCGAGGAGAATGAATGTACTCCTGGACAGAGGACATGGCACCAGCAAGAATAACAGAGGGTGGAAGGGTCCGACCATCAAAAGTAATCTTCACAACCCAAAGGGGTTGACGGCGACTACCACGAGGGGGACGAGTAAACGTGTCCACCTGGAGAATAGAATGGCCCTGGGCATCAAGGATATGTCGAATATCGTCGTGGCAGTCTCGCAGATCCCGAACACTGGTTGCAACATGGGGCAGGAGGAGAATAGTGCCAACACTGGCGTTCAATTGAGCGTTCTTTGAGACCCGAACAGGGGTCTCGCCAAGGCAGGATAAGGCAGCCAAGCGGGAAGCTGCATCCTGAGAAGGAGCAGCAACGACACGTGTACTGAGACGAGTGGGGCTGAAGGTAACAGAGGCATCCACGGAATCAACGAGATGTCGATGGAGGGAGAAATTGTCAGGAGGTGCAGAATCAAGAGGGAGGAGATCAAAATATTTGGCCCACGAAGCGGGACCAAACAAGACTTGATAGGTATCAGAACGGGAAGGAATCGAGCGAGGGCGGCTGTGACGAGGACGGCGTTGAGAACCCCCAGAGAGAGAGGTGGGTTAAAAGGCGCAGTAGTTATAACTAAAGATAGAGCCGCGGCAGGGGACGAGGTAGTCACCACTGGGGCATCGGGGCTCGACCCAACCACAGAGGAGGGAGGGGAGCCGAGGGGAGGAGTCAGAGAGGCCAAAGGAGGAGCAAGGTCGGGGCCCAATGCAGTGGAGGCTACAGAGCCCGATCTTCCAACACGGACCGACTCGGGGGCTTGGTCGTCCACCCCACGAGCCTGAGAAGGTATAGGAGAAACAGTAGAAACAGTATACATCATCGCAACAAAAGAGAAACTTTCATTCACGAATGTGCCCCCACACCCACCATGGAGCCACAATTAGAGGCAGGACACCCAACAAGAAGCTATCGCCGATCATGCCGGGGCCTTCTAGGGGTGTGTCGTGAGTATATGCCCCACAAATGCCACCATAAGAACTGACAGTCCGTTAAGATCCGGTTCAGTGACGAAAGGGGGATTGACAATAAAAGGTTTCCCCTCACTCTCGACGTTGGGTACTACAGTTCTACCGGTGCAAGAGTATGCCTCCTCAAGCACCCGGGTGTCAAAATAAAAGAAGTCCAAAGGAATAACCAAAACAAGCAAAAGGTCGGCAGGAAACGGCAAGCATAGGAGAAGAGGGGGAGAAAAATGAAACAGAAGGACAAGGAAAAGTTGCTCAGCACAATTGGAGAGGACGGCAGCAGGAGCACAAGGCTACAAAAGGACAGAGGACTGTCCCAAAGAGCATCACACTCCGGCAGCCGCCCACTAAGCCCCCCTCACGGCATCAACGAGCTGAGTGGGGAGGGGGGGTACTTAATGAGAGAGCAAGCAATTGATTGGTTAATCTGCCAAATTATAAACATTAGTGCCTGCTGTCAGCATAGCAACGGTGTCTTATATTAACGTAAATTGTTTGGCTAAAGTAGAAGTAGTGTATTGCGCACAGTAGTCCCTTGCAACTGTTGCAAGATTAGAGGGGGCAGTAATGTAGGTATACTTTTGTTGTTGCCAAATCATGTGTCATTACTGTGAGGTACAGTAATTACTGTGTTTCAGAAGCTGCAACCGTGTGTGGGCTGTGCATTTATGTTGTTATGCCACTGTAAGTGTGACCAATGTAACCTGGGGGTTACTTTGTGTTCTTTAAGTTGATGACTTAAGGATTCATTGAGTTAATTAAGGGGAATTAACTTCATAAGAGGTTGCACATTACTTAATGAGTGAGAGAGCTGTTAAGGGAAACAGTGCTGAGCTTGTTGAGATACGTTTCAGGTGCAATTAATTGTCCATGGGATAACTAATTGACCACTCTAGCTAATTATTTAATTAGTGTTCTCATCATGAATTCAAATAGTGTGAAGGAACTGTTAGAGTCTGACAGTATTTGTATTAACGTAATTTGCTCGAGACTAATTACCTTTCTGGGGTATAGCAATTAGTGGCTCATGATAATTAGTGGAGTAATTAACGTCAAAGGTCTTGATGACTCGGTAAAGCGAGGTCATGGAGCTAGCATAACTCGTTATATTAATCATATCCTGTCTGGTGAGAGTGGATTTAGATACACTCATGTTAATTAGTGGAGTAATTAACACCTCGTCCGCAGCCTAATATGTTGCTACTGAATATATTTTGATTTGCAGCGTGTGTGAAGAATTCCCCGAGCTGTCATTTCCCGTGTTAATCATCTCCCAGTGTTCCATGATGAGTTCAGGAGATTCCGAGGATGAGTCATAACCGATGTCTTGGAAAACGTCTTCAAGCTAAGACCCTTTTCCGTATTCCTTAAATTACATTATCTGTAGTATATTATTCTTGCGGATCACTGTTTTCTGGATTAACATGTCTTTATTATAATCATTAATTTCTCATGTTCATAATCTATGTTCTTATTGGTGATTGTTTTTTTGATTCTATAATTGGTCATAGGATTAGATTTATTGCATAATGAACTGGTGCACGAACCACACTAGTTCCTAGACATATATGAAGTTCTAGTAATAACCCCCCAATGTAGGTGTTTGAGGCTTTGATTCAGTTAAATTATATACAGCCCATTAATTATACAAGTGATTATATTCTCTAGTATTTATCCATAGTTACTGGTTCATCTAGAAATTTCTAATGATCACATTTTATTAGTTTCCCTCTTTACTATAAAAGCGGATGGTCCTTCGTAATTGATTTTCATTACATTAATATTTAAATAAATAGAGTCAAGTCCCAAATGTCCCACATATAGTGCCACTGGATGGACATTAACGTAACGTAAACTCGATGTTGTAGTAGTTTAGTCTCTAGTTATTAAATTGTTTTGTTATAGAAAACGGTCTTTGATGTCAACCCTTCAACCATTTTTTTCCACCCATGTTTTGCTTTATACGATTGTTGCAATGTGATCTTTTTTTTTAAATGACGGCTGTTCTTGGGAAATTCCACTTCCAATTCATAGCACCACATCAAATATAAATATTTGATTGTGAAAACCTGTCGGTTAGTCTTTATTGGTTTTAACGTCCTGTTTAACTCGGATGAACCAGCAGCCTTAGTGGACAGGTTTTCACCCTTGTGGTGGAAGCCTGGCGGTCTGCTCCCGCTTTTCCTTTTTCTATTGAACTCATGCTTAGAGTAGAAATATCTGCAGTGTGCAGTTCTTTATGCTTGAGGTCCACTTCCTAAGGGAGGAAGGCGTAGAAAAAATCTCACAGCTATAACTGACAGCAGCGATTTTGTTCTCTCACAGGATCAAGTCAAGAGTTTAGGACTGTCCAAGGTGAACTGCCATCCTCAGCGCAATCGCCTCCTTGCGTCACCTCTGTGAACATAAAACGTCATTAGCTAGACAGACAGTAGCTAATGACAGTAGTTATCCTAAGGGTGACCGTTGGATAACACCCTGCCACCGGGGAATTGAAATTGTAAATTGTAGCCACAACCTAGATGGCGTTGATCTCGATATGCCACCCACCAGAGGTCATCATCATCCTCACCTTCTAACTGAGGTAGAAAACCAGAGCTTTACACTAATGCCATGCCACCACCATGAGATAGCGTTGTCTGTGTTGCACCCAATACCTGGGAGTTGGAATACAGGTTCATAGATGGCGCCAAAATCAGCACGCCCCACTCTGGCAACGGTGTTGATACAGTAACAAGGGGACTGAGAGGGAATGGGGTGAGGGGATGGGGGGAACAGGGAGGGTAAGGGGTGAGGAGGGAGGGAGGGAGGGTTGAATGAGCATTTGAATGGGGACAGGGAGGATACAGTGTAAGGAGGATTTCTATGAGGAGGAGGGTGGAGGTGTTGTCCTCTCCTGTGGGGTTACTGGGATGCTGGTTGGGAGTTCTCCACTCCCCTCCCGGACTGTTGTGTTGAGGGCAGTGGTTTTCTGGTTCTCTCCTCTCTCCTTGTGCTTCTTTGCATCTGCTGGCATTGCTCTTTCTTCCTTCGTCATGTCCTTCTGGAGGAATGCTTTCTTGCTTCCTTTCACATTTAACAGTTGACCCTTCCTTGTTAGAACTTCCTCCTTCGTGGTCTCGTTTGAAAACACAATCTTTATCAGGTGATCTCTGTCTTTGTTGTACCAGCCTAGCCTGAAAACCTTCTCTATGCTTTGTCCAGCCCATTTCATCTGTTACCCTTTTAGGATCTCTCTCACTGCCACACTGTCCTTATCTTTCTGTTCTGTCGTACTGGAGCCTTATTGTTCCTTAATACCAACTGATACCACTGAACCTTTCCTCTCCAGCAGCTGACTAGTGTTCCTTGCTGCTTCCTGTGTGGTACTTCTTTCATGGCTACTTCCTTCACTGTGCACATTGCTTCTGAACTCTTTATAAGCATTTCTGCAAATGTTGCATGTATAGTGGCAGTCCCATCCATTGATACATTTCCATCTTTTGTTGCTGAGCCTAGTAGGATTCTCTTTGAGAATTCTTATCTCCTACTTTGCTGCTATAAGCTCGCTTTGCAGGGTGCTTTTGGTATTCCTCATTTCATGCTTTTTTTCATTCCTCATTTCCCCTTCTGATTTCTTCCCAAGCTTGGCCGAACATCTCCTTCATTGAGTAACTCTGACTTTTTCCTGTGCCATTAGCATGTCTTCCTGCCATGTTTGTTCCTTTTGCCTACTATGTTGGGATACAGAGTGTCAGGGAGGGACAGAAAGGGAGAGAGAGAGAACATGAGAGAGAGAGAGCATGAGAGAGAGAGAGAGAGAGAGAGAGAGAGAGAGAGAGAGAGAGAGAGAGAGAGAGAGAGAGAGAGAGAGAGAGAGAGAGAGAGAGAGAGAGAGAGAGAGAGAGAGGAGAGAGAGGAGAGAGAGAGAGGAGAGAGAGGAGAGAGAGAGAGTGAGTGAGTGTGAGTGAGAATAAAGGAGTGAATGAGAATGTGAGTGAGTGTGAGTGACTGAGTGTGAGTGAGTATGAGTGAGTGTGTGTGAGTTTGAATAAGTGTGAGTGTGAGTGAATGTGAACGAGAGGGCGAGTATGAGAGTGAGTGAATGAGTGAGTGAGTGAGCGTGTGTGTGTGTGTGTGTGCATGTGTGATTGCGAGTATCAACCCATTCTCGCACTTGCTCATAGTCAATATCTTGCTTATGAATAAGTGCATATGTGACATACTAATTTATTGTGAATATTTGAGTTTACCTTGAAAAGCTGAATAGAAAATCACAACCTAACCTAACCTTCTTAGTAAGTTAAGATATTACAATTAGTACTGAACTTATACCTATATTTATATTACAGTTTTATAAAAATAATAAAACCAAACTAAAATATATAAATAAATTGTAAAGTAACTCAGGATATTATCAAATTTTGTATAAAATCTCTATTGTTTAATAAAACTGATAGAAATGTTAGTGCCTTGAAAAAAATATGGCTTGGAATATGTCACATATGTACTTATTTATATGCAAAATAGTGATTATAAGCAATAAGTCATATATGTGCTGTCTTGTGCGAGAGCAAGTTGCGAGTACACACATGCCTATGTTGGTGAGAGTGTGTGTATTTAGTTTAAAAGAGATTGCGTGTGTGAGTGTTCTCTTCATGTTTGGATATGTGAGTGTACTCATTCTTGTGTGTGTGTGTGTGTCTCTCATCCCTGTTTGCATGAGATAAAGAGGAGGGTGTGGTAGACACAGAGGGGGTGTGGAGGTCTAAGGGTGGCCTCTGGTGCCAAAGTGATGTCATGAGCTACGTTCTTGCCTCTTGTCCCAACCAAAATTACTATGCTGTTATTAAATAAAATGCAAAGTATTGGCTATGATATGACATTAGGTAAACCTTGCACTTTGTTGAAGACTTCAGAGAAGCACTCACCAGCTGACAACCCTCTCTATAAACATATCCTGCTAAATATCAGGTCATGATATTTAAGGCGTCGTGTGTGGACCATTGAAGCCAGAATCCAAACTGTTTGTTAGTGAGAAAGTCATTGCTTTCTAGGTGCGTTCTGAGTCTCATGTTGACCAGCTTTTCAAAGACTTTGCCAAGTGTTTTTAGAAGGCTGATGGGTCTGTAGGTTTTAGGGTCAATGTGAGGTAGCAGTGGCAGATTTGAAGGAGAGAGGAAAATATCCAGAGGCAAAAGAGGCATTGAATAAGTTAGTGATAGCAACAATGATAGAGACATGGAGTTGTCGAAGTAGAGTATGGCCAATACCAGACGCACCAGGGGCTCTATGACGAATGCCTATGAGAGCAATCTTGACATCAGCTGGAGTCAGGGGAGTCTGTAATTCAGTGTGTGAGTTGAGGTTGTCAAGGTGAATGAGGTCGTCGAGTGAGGTTTCGTGTCTGTTTTGGTGTACCCATATCTTCAACTACTTCAATGTTGGGTAAGGCAGTTGGTTCAGTAGGATGTGGATGAAAGATGCATTCCCAATGATGCTTATAAATGTTAAATACTCCATGAGGTTCTGTGATTTTGTTGATGTTCTGTAGAAGGTATTTAAATGGAGTATGAGTTGATCCTTGTAAGCATTTTATTTGTTTCGGAAATTCCTGAGGTGTTAATTTTCTGTGTTGTTCTGCTTGTTCTACGAGGTGTTTCCACTGTTTTGTGAAGTTTTCATCTAGGTTGTTGAGGATGTGGTGTTAATTGTGAGGTCCCAGAGTACCTGTCCGTAGCAATGTATGTTGAGTAAGAATCGAGAATGATAGCAAGTAAGTAAGTAATTATCAATAGAAGGCACCAAACCGGGAAGGCTATGTAGCACCTTCAAATGTGCAGGATAATCAGAGGGCGCTAAATATCACTAAGGATGTCAATACGAGAACAAAAATGCATAAGGCGAATGATATCAAAAGTATCCGAGTCGCCAAGAATTCTATCGAGGGACAAGCGACCGCGGGGGGACAGTCGGAAAACAAGACACACGCTCGTCCTGGAAGTCAGGACATTCAACAAGGATATGTATGACCGTAAGAGGGACAATGCAATTCGGACAATAAGGAGCAGGGCGGCGCTCCATTAAGTGACCGTGAGTTAAACGGGTATGGCCAATACGTAACCTATCCAGAGCCGTTTCCCACCGCCGGTTACGGTGGCAGGAGGAAGGCCACTGGGAAACACAACTCTCAAGAGTACGCAGTTTGTTACCAAGATCAGACGACCAACAACTCTGATATCGGGCAAGGATGGAGGCATGAATAACTGGGTAAGAGTCAGAATAAGGAACACCTTTATGGGAGATGGGACAATTGCGGATAGCATCCTTAGCAGCAGCATCCGCACGCTCATTTAAAAAGACACCAACATGGTTGGGAACCCAGCAAAACGCAACAGACTTAAACTTACTGGAGATAAGAAACAGCCAATGTTGAATCTCGATGACCACAGGGTTGACTGGATTAAAGGACCCTAAAGCCATGAGGGCACTATGAGAGTCAACTACTACCACGAAGGAGGATTGCCCCCCGGGAAAGCAGGAGACGAAGAGCATAGAGAACAGCATAGAGTTCTGCTGTGAAGATGCTAGCCTCCGGAGGAAGGCGACACATATAAGTGTGGTCAGAAAAAACAACAGAGTAGCCCACACCGTCAGCAGACTTTGACCCATCGGTGAAGATGGGAACGGAGTGGGAGTGAGAAGAAAAGTGCTCAAGGAAGAGGCGTTTCAGAACTGTAGGAGGGGTGAAAGCTTTAGTGATGTGGGTCAGAGAAGCACAAAATTTGGGAAGGGGGACCCTCCACGGGGGCAAGGAGGGAACAATACGAGGAGAAACATTAGTAAGATGAACCAAAAGAGAATCTTGTAAGCGAGACAAACGGACAGAAAGAGGAAGGTGGGGAGGAGGAACAGGAACTACAGGGGGGGTAAAAGTCAAAGCACGATAGAGGCGAGAGGAAGGATGCTGTACGGATCGCACAAGACAGCGAAGACTGTAGCGATCACGGCGATCCTAGAGAGACAGAAAGCCAGTGTCAGCGTACAAGCTGAGGGTAGGAGTTGAACGAAAAGCACCAGAGCTGAGGCGCAACCCAGTATGGTGCAAAGGATCAAGTCGGCGAAGAGTAGAAGGAGAAGCAGAAGAGTAGGGCAGGGCAACCATAATCGAGCTTAGACAGGACGAGAGAGGAATGCAAATAGAGGAGCATGCGCCTATCCGCTCCCCAAGAAGTATGAGACAAAACCTTATTTAGGTTAAGGGCCTTAGAGCATTCAACATGGAGGTAAGAGACATGGGGCGACCAAGACAAAGGAGTGTCAAAGAATAACCCCAAAAGCTTCGTGGAATCTTTGCATTCAAGGGGATGACCATAAAGTGACAAAGAGGGACGAAGAAAGACCCGCTTCCGAGTAAA